TACGTGTACGTGTACGTGTACGTGTACGTGTACGTGTACGTGTACGTTTACGTGTTTGTGTTTGTATTAATGCAGCCTATGGCTATTGTACGGCTTGTTATTAGAGCTTGTGTGCTAGTTGGGTAGTTGGTACTGAACTAAAAAGAACGATGAAGTATTAATACCGTGCAAGACGAACTAGTTCAGATCGGTCAGTGTCGGGAATATATTCCTAGTAGTTCGTAGTTCATGAACTATACTTACAAGCCTACCGACTAAATCTAGTTTTTTTGCGAGTAGAACCGGCTAAATGGCAACTTTTTACCTGACTAGTCAAATTTCAAGAACGCAATCATGGTCACGTTGGAATAAAGCACGCGATTTTGCAGGTAATGTTCAATGACTGGACGGAGTTTCCCGTGGACAAAAACTCAGCACTAGTGTCGTACAATACAGAAACGTATCACTCCATCTGCGCCACTTACACGTACTGTTCAGACGACGTGAAGAAACTATCTCCAGAGAGGTTTTATCACGTTGTTTAAATTAAAATTATATTTTACATAACAAAAATACTGATTGCACAACAATTTAAATTAACCCTAAACGAAATAACAATTCTTTTAACAAAATTAACGTAATTTTTCTCAAAAGTTGCTCCACAAATTATCTTCGTTTATACAATGAATCACGTACAACAAATATATTTATTTATAATAAAACGAATAACACATATTGCATAACATTATTTTAAAAATGTCATCTGATTTACTGAAAATAAAAAAAAATCAGGACTTTTCATTTCATCGCTTTCGCATACAACCTAGAGTTTGGTACAATATGCCCGAATAAAGAACAAGCATTCTAATGCTGTGCAATAATGAAACTGTCCTCATATTTTTAAAAACTATAAATGCAAACAGTCATGTCGTAGGGCTCGCTATCCGGGTCATGTATGTGGTACCACCGGGCCTGTTTCACGAACCTACAATTTTACTACTTAACTAGCTACTAGTCACCAGTACTAATATTACAAGTACTAGTAAATTCCGTTTCACAAATAAAAATACTATACTTGTAGCTAGTAGTCCCACTGATAAATAATACTAGTTTAAATTGGTTGCGTACCGGTACAACTTAATTCCATAGCTCATACGTCAGCAGTTAAACATTGGCAAAAACAATTTGCCTGTTCAAATAAGTAAATATATAAGTATGTGAAAAAATGTGTATATATATATATAAAATATATTATGTAAAAAAATATATGTTAAAATAAGTAAATATAATAACATTGTTATAATATACGAAAATAAAACAAATCTTAAAATTGTCGTTTCGAGTGCCGTATAAGACTTAGGTTATAATTAGAAATATTTCAAGTCATCTCTATTCATTATTATCTGATCAATCTCAAAGTGGGAAAAAAAGCGAAACTTTATATAGGAAATGAAACCATTTTTCCGGATTTAAATCGCGTTTGTTTTTTCAAACAAACCGACGTTTCGGGCCCTTTACAGGTCCCATGGTCACGGTTGACAGTCAACCTGGGACCTGTAAAAAATATACGCGATTTAAATCCGGAAAAATAGTTTCATTTCCTATGTGTAACAATCGCGAAAACCTAATAACTCGATACGAAACTTTATAGTTTTCAACATAATGAAATTTTGAGAATCGAAATGTTGTGGAGAACATTGTACGTTATAATAATTAATTACAGTTAATATACTCAATAACTACTCCGTTAAAGTAAATTAATATTTCTGACCAAGAACAAGTATGGTTTATTTACACTTATAAATAACGAGACCTGTACCCCACCTACGGTGGGTGGGGTCGGGCTCGGCTTGCGGCGCGTGGTCACGTTCAGATTACGGGGTACTACTTCGGCGGCACAGCGATTAGTACTTTGGGCTCTTGATGAGGAGGTTCCGAGTTCGATTTCCGAATTTAAGAAACGAACATTTCTAAATTAGTTCTGTTCTGAGTATTCTGGGTATTGCCCTCAGAGTTATCGTCATTCTTGTAATCATAGTACAGGAAATTCCCTAATTGGAGACCTGGAATTTGGTGTGATTGTCTGTCATTTTTTTCCCCTTAATACTTCTCATTGGCATAGCTTCCAAGAAAAAAGAATCTAACAGAGAGATGGTCGAGATACAACAGCGCTATAAGTATTTCCTTTCCACTACATCTAACCACCAAATAGTTTATCGAGTAATTTCCATGTCTGTCAACAAATTGTTCTTTGTTTTTCTTTGGGGCATCTATGGTTACCAATGTTCCGTCTAAACATCCAACTACCATTGGCATCCCTGCTAATCCATGAAATCTCTCGATTATTTGGTTTATATTATCTGGTCACCTGACAAGAGCAGGAAACAAAATCTTTACCACTGCATTCACTACGTCGTGAATAGCACGACATACGCTAGCTTTAGAAACCCCATGCATATCGGCTACTGCATGGTACTGTACTGCAGTCCAATCCATCCAATGCAATGCAACTTGTATAACTATTTTGGCTGATAATGATTGGTTTCTGTCGGTTATTCGCTGTATTTCAGGTTCGATCGCAATCAAGAAAGCTTAGCGATCGTCAGATTAATATTATACAATTTTCGCTTTTTTAAGATACTCTCTAATTATATTTTTTCCTGCACAAATTCACTTTTTACAATGTTTGAGCATTTATAAATGCAAAATAATAAACTCTCACAAGACATTCCCGGATATTCCCATAAAAAGTAAAATATTCCCAAATAGAATATTGATCGACTTTAATTAAACGTTTGCAAGTCGATAATGACTTTTCGATAGATGGTATGGTACAACACTAAAGCCAACTTTTGTATAAGCATGTGAAAGAACCTATTTCACTATTCGCGTTATCGGTCCGTTATTGTCTATGGGATCCGAAACCCAAAGCGAAAGGACGGCTCACGGATCGTTTTGATTTCGTACGCAGCTGCGGTTGAATATTTTGAGAGTAGGCTTTCAGTTTCTCGCTTGTCAAACGAAATTTTTGTTAAATTGATAAGTAGTTTGTAACTTTTCATATGAATTTTCGAGGTAGAAATACTCAACGGCATGCACTATTACAGTTTCTACCTCACCTTCCGAACATGACGACATCTTTTTCTAAGTGACGTTACTGATAAAATTTTCGTACAAGTTTACAATACACCTTCTATATTAACCTATTATGTCCCACCGCTGGGCCAAGGTTAATAAAAGTTATTTTATGTAATTTTTTAAATTATTTTTTATATAATTATTTTTAAATTTTTTTCTGTTTTTTTTTTTTTATTTTAAGCTTTGGAGCTGATTTTGTTGTAAGCAATTCGTAATATTGGAACTAAGTTGAACCTTTACTTGCAAATACAAAAAAAAAACTACGATTTTCAAGCATTAGACTTTGCAATGTTATGTAATGTAATGCTAAATTAATTTTCCTTTGATGTACATAATTTTGATGTGCAATCAGTACTTTTGTTGGGGAAGTGACATATTTGGTTGTGAAAAAACTTGCTTTTTTGGTGAGCGGTTAAATAATACTCTATATAAGATTTAGGTATTGTAAATACAATACCTAAATCTTCAAAATGGCGTCCTTGTACAGAAATGCAAACGACAATGTCCGTCGTAGTAAGTTCCGACGTACAACCTAAATTTCGAAATGCTTAACGGTTCTCATAGTTAACACAGCTATGATCATTTTTTCTCTTAAATCTTGTTCTGTTAAATGTTCCCCATAAACTAAACAATGTCTTTAAAATAGCCCAAAGTGAAATAATCTATCGGGTTGGAATAAAATTTGATTTGTTTCATTAAATTAATAAAACGATTAGTATTTTTAATATCAGTAAAGTTCCACTATCCTCTAATTGCCAACTCAAAAAAAATTGAGTTAGAAAGACTACATACTATACCTAGTGTTAAATAATTGCTGTTTTGAGTTGGTTAAATTGACTTAAAATACATGGCTGTCACCGCCATTTGGTGAGAAGGTACTTACTATACTTGTGAGTATTTGTGAGTAGGTACTTACTACGGGAGTAGCATTCCCTTAAAATATTATTTTCAAAGAATTTGTCCCTTACGAGGTTTTGCTCTGAAACAGCCGAATTGTTGATTTTGACTGCGCGGCAGCAGGATTCATTGGCCCTAAATTTTCATGCCATCTCTAAAAACGCACCTATTCCTAATCCTAATCCATGATTCCAGCCGCAACTGCCTATTTAGCGATGAATTGCGCCCGCAATACTTCCACGGCTACCATAACTCGGACTGTGACATGATGTGCCAAGTGCACACGATCGAGCAGCAGTGCAATTGTGTATTACCCTTCGTCCCGCACGTCCGAAAGCAGGTCGCTTGCAACCTCACCAGCTTGCCCTGCGTGGTCGAAACAAGAAGTAAGTACGATAGAAAGTAATGCGATTTTCCATTCGAGAGCTCATCGTCTGTGATAGAAGCGCTACTGCGTGCTCTTCGTGCCGCATAAGTATAAATCGTTGGCAACTTTTGATCAGAATCACTACATTTAAATAAAAATAGCCTGTACCTTTCGTTGTCATGAAGTAAGTAATGCTTATGTGATTCGCATGTAGAAGAAGCGTTTGCCAATTTTGTTAGCACATCTTTGCCTTATGCCAGCGACACCGCAATGATATTTTAATATATTTTAAACATTGACTTACAAATTTTAAACAAGTGCTTTACAAATCTTCCTTAGAAAAAAATCATAAAAACAAAAATTTGTAAAATGAAGCACAGTAACGGCTTTACGGCCCGAATGCAGTAAGAGCATCATCATCAACCTATTTATACGTCCCATCGCTGAGCACAGGTCTCCTCTCAGGTGAGAGTTTAAGCCATATAAGTAGTTAAAAGATAAATACAAATCATTGGAGGGTTAAAAGATAATGAATAACCTATTATTTATATACATATATTATGCGCTAGCCGCTAGACTACCTCGAACAGTGAAATTATTGTATGTTTACATAACTTTAAATTGGTAAGGTTAGTGCTAGTTAATCTAGTTAAGGGAGAGGAGGAACACTCCGGGGGTTATAGTGCATTGTATCAAGATTGTTTACATTTAGTTAAATACCTAAACAAATGCACTATAAGTAAAATTGTTTATTTGTATCTTAGGTAGGTACCTAAATCGGTGATTATAGCACGATGATTAATCAACATATTTTGTTCACATATTTGGTTAGGGACGTAACACGTTTTCCGAGGGTTATGAGGTTCTTCGACGAGCAGGTTTTGTCTTCTTCACCGCATAGCTCATGGTAAATTTCCAATTAAATTTCGCACATAAATTCCGAAACTCAGAGGTGCGAGCCCGCATCGAACCCACGGCTTTTTCTTGAGATGCAGCAGAACAAACCATTAGGCTACCACGGCTTCAAAATTTACAAGGGAGCTTAGGGAAAATTAAAAATCAACATCCGCGTAAGTACGTAAATTCACCTTAACCAGAGAATAAAAAAGTAACGAGAGTGGACACCTCCGCCCCTCCCTAGCTTTAGATACCGCAACATTAGACCGCAACTTTAGATACCGGTCACATCGACGGAACGTCAATAAGGCTGTTGGCGAGTTGTTATCGCGCCAAATATTATTCTAATTAGTGAATTAATGAAAAATATAATATTATATCGACATAAATACCTAATGAACGTCTAAAATTATTAGGATTCTATTAATAGAATTACAGATAACAGATTCGCGTTAGAATTTTTGCTATGTTGCCGCCCTGACCACGAGAAAGTGATGGGTAACCCTGACACTTCACGCATACATTTGCGAGTGTGCAGATAGCGCCATGCTGTATGTTATAGTAGAAGTAGGTAAACAACTTTCGAACGTTGTATGGAGTGTCCCGGGTGTGCCTTACCCACATTTAGGGTACTAAAAAGACCGTCTGTACTCTATCCCATTTTGCCACAACTGTTAATAGTAAATAGGTATGAAACCAGTAAATATACTTTTATATATAAATTTATGATGATTATCAAGCTTATCAAGCTTAAAAATGAATAACGGTTACAGCGCCATTGGGCTGCGCATCTATAGTAACTCCACACACATGCATGACTTAAACAGCGATACAATAGTGATGTACTATTTTTATAATTCAACATAACGTCGGGGAGAGTGCAAAGCTGCGTATGTATATGTAGTACCTATTGGTAAAAAGCGCGTAATTGCACCGAAACAAATTTCACAGGAGAGGGATTTAACGTTATTACTTTGTTATTTGCTCAGGGCTCATAGAAAACCAGCGCCACAATTGCGGCTGTGGCATAAGCTGAATGAAGTCCTTTTGCGTACGCCACAACCGCACACATGACAGTACAACATTTGTAGTTGTTATATTTAGTATTTTTCTGTTGCTCTTTGTTTGTTATTGTCTTATTTTATTTTATTTTAATTAAGTTAATTACGTCTTTTTGTTTTGTGTTGTGGCGTTGCAATAAATGTCTATTCCGTTCCGTTCCGTTCCGTTCCGTTCCGTTCCGTTCCGTTCCGTTCCGTTCCGTTCCGTGCCGTTCCGTTCCGTTCCGTTCCGTTCCGTTCCGTTCCGTTCTGTTCCGTTCCGTTCCGTTCCGTTCCGTTCCGTTCCGTTCCGTTCACACATCACTCACATCACATCTACTGGACATCTACTGGAATTTGATTTGGCCTCTAAATTACCGAAATGGAGACTCGTAATCAAATGCTAGTTGTAACTAGCAGTAATTGCACTATATTTAAATATAACCCCGACGATAAGTGACGCCATCTATGCTTTATCTTTCTAATTTATGATGCTATCGCGCGTTTGTAATGCTGCTAAAAATCGCCCAGTGTAACCACTCTAAAACAATTTTTTTATTATTATTTTTAGTGCAAATGCAACACTTGTTACAAAAGAAGCATTGTGACTGCCTGGGCGACTGCGATTTTCGGGAATACACAGTTGATATTACCGCTGGCAACTTGGATGGCATCTCTTATAGTTTTACCACAGACTTTTTGTACGTATAACAACTTTTCCAGAGATAACTTAGATATAGTAACAGTAGAACTTCTTGTGAAAGAGGTCGTCCAGGGAAGTACTGCCACCTTACCTATTATTATTAGCATTAATGTTTTCCGATTTTGAAGGGTAAGGGTGCTGGTGAAATTACAGGCACATGGGACTTGCCAACTTATGTCTCAGGGTGTCGGGCGCAGTGGCAGTAGCCCACAGATCTTTGCGATTTAAAGCTCTGAGTGGCACTGCAACTGTTATGGACACGTGTGTAGTTTATCATCAGGCGCATGACTTGTTCGTCCCGTCACTTGATATTATGCTTATTTCTAAAAGAAATTTCTTCCTGCAGACCAAAATACAGGACAATTAATTATAATAGCGGGTTTACGTGCACAACAAAACAAAATTAAATTTAAAAAAAATAGCAAAAATATTAAATTACTATTAGATAAATACATACTTCATATTATAATATCTATAAAATGGATGGAACAGAGGATAAATAGTGTTCCTTGACTCTCATTTTAAAGATAGCTTTTAGGATTTACTATTATGAACAGTGCGTTCCAAAAACTGACCGCATGTACGGACAACGGCACACCAGACTACACATTCTTGTTCGAAAATCGCCTCCATTGCAACGGAACAAGATACGACAATGTGTAGCTTGATGTGCTGGCGTGTGTACATAAAGGAGCAAGAACAAAAACCGGAACTGAATGATGGAAAGGATAAATGAGACTGAACGAGAGAGCTATTTTTATTGTATGTACGGACAACGGCACGTCTGACTACATATTTTTGTTCGAAAATTGCCTCCAGTGCAACGGAACAAGATACGTCAACGTGTAGCTTGATGTGCTGATTGGCTGGCCATGACATTGACTTACAACATGACGATTATTTCAGATACCACATGAACGTGAACAAGAGCACTTCTTTGATGAACTTTATCTTTCTGACACCGTCGTACGTCAAGCAGAGACAGGAGACTGTCATGTCCATAACCACTTTGTTTTGTAAGTTTTGATACTACGCTAAATCCGTAAAAAGTTCAAATTATAATTGAAAAATCTATACAAAACAGTCTACTCCATACAGTCAATTAGGTTATTTGTAAGATGGGCCTAAACTTAATAGTTAGTTATACCTACGATAAACAGCATAGGTTCGTAAACTTTTTGACCCACCGCCTACTTAGGCAAAATTTCAACGCCCACCATTACAAATAACAATTAAAAGCATCACAAGGAAAAAAAACATGTAGTCTGTCTAGTTAGATTTTTTGTGAAATAACTCCACTGGCTTTGTCATGATTAATTCAAAGATCGATAAAAATATCCGAATTTATACAAAGATCGAAAAAATAACCGAAGTAGAGTTTTCCAGATTTGTGTAGTCTCGGATTCAGAACTAACACGACTCGGGTGTAGTGCGCGAATCGATTTCTAACTTGTTATCCTTATTTTCAGCAAATATTGGTGGTGTAATCGGGCTCTGTCTTGGCTGCAGTCTGGTGACCGTTGTAGAGATATTCTTCTACTTATACGTCTGCTTGAGAAATTGCTTCATTAAAAATATCCGAAAGGTCAAGAAACCTTATCGCGAACATTATTACAGCTTTCATATGTAATTTAGAGCGTATTTGAACTTTTCAAGTAATTTGCAATTTTTGTTCTGCATCAAGCTATGTTTGTACGTCTCAACACTGATGGTGTGGATTAAAAAGTTTAAAGGCACAGTCCATTAGTCTATAAGATTATTCTTCAATTCAATGTCTATTTTCACTATTAAACGTTGTATAAAAAATGTTTATTGAATAAAAAAACTTGGTAAAAAGCATATGCGACTTCTTCATATTTCCACGCAAGTTATCTAACAACGCAAGCAAGCTGCGTGTGCATTTAAAAAAACAGTGTCGGATTAGTTGGAAGATCTCTTCGAGGTACCAAGCTCCACTTGCTGTAAATAATGGTATGTAGGTGGACAGCTACCTGAGCTGTAGAGCAGGGGTTCCCAAACTTATTTTGTCTACTGCCCACTTTTAGAATAAATTATTTTTTAGTGCCCCCATTTTTTCACCTACTTAAAAACCACTATAACTTCAAATTAAATTAATTATTGTGAGCTATATTAGCGGAGATTAAACATTAATTCTAAACGAGACTTTTACTATAACCCGCAAGAGTTAACTTGAGACCTGAGCGCAGTAGGTAGTACACAACGGCGCTCAGGTCTCAAGTTAACTCTTACGGGCTACACCTGCCAATGAGAACGATTATTGAAACGCAACTTTATAGCATTCAGACAGAGTATCTTTTATTCAAAATAAAAAACAATTAATTCTATAGTCCATCTGTTTAGGTACTTATGTCTATTGTGATGTCTATTTAATGAAATATACATTTATAAAATGATTTTCCCTTACCTTCAAATACAAAATACAAATACTTAGCTTCATATGATATTGCATGCCTATTTTTATACCTATTGATTTGTAAAGCATGTGTTTCAATAAAAAGATGTATCAAGATTGTTTACATTTAGTTAAGTACCTAAACAAATGGACTATAATATAAAAACTAATGTGAAGGATGAATCTGATGCTGTTTAATAAGTTTGTTGATATCAGGTTCCAATTTACTCAAGAACAGCCGCAAGTCACCACGTTCGGTAACATGCAAACGATTTCTCTTTTTAGTAAGCAGCGTTGTCACAACACTAAAACCACGTTCAAACAAATATGACGATGGGAATGCTATCAAGAATCGTTGATCGATTGACCGCAATCCAGGGTACAATTGCGGGAACAGTTTTTGTAGCCAAAATTCTTGGTAGCCATTTTTGAACTTGATTTTTATTTCCTCGTTCGTTGTCAATTCTATACGTTCTTCTTCCCGCTGAGATGATATTGCTGTGTTGACATTTGAAAACGGATCCAACACCCAGTCTGGTATGTCCAAGTTCAAAATGTCCTGGTATGGTTCGGTGAAGTCAATGTGGAGGTTTTCCAAATGTTGGCAGTAGGCAAACAAGTCGTCGTTACTGCAGGGTACTGATAAATTCGGAAAATTGTGTCTCACTCACGTCTGCCCGTATTCTTTTTGTGTAGAAGCAGTTTGGCTGCGAAAGCAGCAACGACATTTTTTGTTTTAATTAAATTTAGTTCATCGCCTTGCAGTTGGAGATTCATGTCGTTGAACAATTTATACAGGTCTGTCGTGTAAGCTATATCATTCTTTGATATAATTAGTTTGTTGCGCAATTCTCTATCTTTAGGTTCCAAGAACTCTATCACAGACTCAAGCAGGTTGTAAAATCGAGTCAGACAATTGCCTCTTGATAGCCAACGAACTTCAGTATGAAACAACAAACGGTTGAAATCTTCGTCATTAGTAACACAAAGCTGATGAAATAATCCATCATTCAAAGAGCTGTTACGGATTTTGTTGACTGCTTTGATGACATATTGCAGTGATTGAAATAGTCGTTCACTTAAATTTCTAGCAACCAAATGTTGTTTATGAATAACACAATGTACAGCAAGGACATCTGGAATTTTATTTTTTAAGTACGCTATGAAGCCTTTATGGCACCCTGTCATGGCCGGAGTGCCATCCGTAGCAACTGATATAATATTTTTCAAGGGAATCTCTTTCTCGTCACAAAACTTTTCCAATATATTGAATGTGGTTTCGCCTTTTGTATCGGTCTCTAAATTTCTAGCAAACAATAGTTCATATCAACATATTTTCTCATCTTTAATAAACCTCACGTAAGACAGCAACAATGCTTCATTAGTTGGTAAAGTGGACTCATCCAGCTGAATTGAGAATTGACTAGTCCTCAGATGATTGCACAATGATTCTTCAACGTTTTCAGCCATTTCATCAATTCGTCTTTGCACAGAATTATTACTCAAAGGAATTTTTCGGATAATTTCTACGGCCGGTTTATGAAGCACAGTAGTCATTAATTCGTTTATTGCTGGCAAAATTAACTCTTCTCCGATGTTGTGTGGTTTGTCTTTTTAAGCAATTAACAAAGAGATATTGTACGAAGCTGGAAGTCCGTCGTCATCTTGCTTGACACCCGCCGAAAAGAGTTTTGCTACACTTGGCTAAGTACTATGCTTCTTCTCTAGGTCTTGAAAATATGCTACATTCTTGTTTTCTTATCTGGATGCATTTTATTCAAATAATCTTGCAGTCTTGAAGGCTTCATTGCTTCATTCGAAAATGTTTTTAGACATAGAAAGCACAAAGGCGACGATGAGTTTGAGGGATTTTCAATGAATCCGAATTTAATATATTCCGCACAGTATTGCCGCCTCTTCTTTTTTACTTCCGACATTGATTTGTTTTGAGAAATACGTAAGTAAGTGTTGAACTCAAGTACTGCTTATCTATTACGTACGAAACCGCAAATGAAAATAAAATAAATAATATATTGTTTATATAGGATTGCATAAGCAGCACGCACCGACAGGAATAAGACAAACATGCATAAACTCGTTTGTCTCATTCGACGCTCAATCGTACTCAACAAGTAAGAACAAGTACCTATTTTATGAACCAGCCGATTGATACAGGAATGCACAAATCGAGTTATTTAACAAAAACTTGTTAAAACATGATTGTCCACGGTCTATTACTACGAAAATTACCTGTTTAGGAATACTAATAACTATTAAAATGCGAAACTGTGTCTGTTGCCTTTTTATTTGTTTGTTTGTGTCCACTTTCATTTCGAATCTGAGCGACCGATTGACATGATTTTTATTTTATTTATTCAATAAAACAGGACAGAAATATGAACTACAAGGAGAGAAGTATCGAACCGAGTTAGTTTGAGCAATCTTTTATAAATATTAGTTGATGTTCACAAGCTGTAGTCGAGAGTCGAGAGCTCAGTCGGTGTCTAAGGGTCTTCCTAGATGAAATTACAAATCTACCCCTAAGCCTCTACACAACGCCCCCATTTTTTTTCTGGATCTCTTACCTTTAGGCCTGCAGCCCCCACAAGGGGGCATTATCGCCCACTTTGGGAAAGCCTGCTGTAGAGGTTTAAAAAACATTCTGTGCCTCCATTGACCTCAAGCCGCCATCAAAATGTGGAAAAGAGTTTCAAAATAGCCACCGTAAAGGTATAACCAGGTATAACGATTTCCCGCGAAAAAATGTCAGAACACTAATTCTTGGACTAATTAATGTTCACTATCTAATTTCCGTGGCAACTTTTATTATTTACATGTCCAAATATAATTATCGTGTAATTATAAAATAATATTTGACGAATACTAAATAATAATACTCGAATACTAAATAATATTTCATGACAAAAAAATCGAATACTAAAAATTGCTATGAATATTAGGTAGTGAAGAAAAATTACAATGCAAGATCTGGCAGTATGGCAAATTAGACGCCTTAGCCTGTCCCGAAAGACGTAAAATTTTACTACTGTTACTACTAAATGTGGAAAAATTTAGAAGAAATGAAAAACCCAATTCAGGTGGTACGTAACAAATTTATATTTCTTCCAATTTACATATACATATAATATTTCACTACATCTGGCGACAATTAAAAATAGTTTAATTTTTTTATCAAATATAAAATTGCTTTGCTATTCATTGAAAAAATACAAAAGTACTACAATGGCGTTAAGAAAATTGTTTCTAGTAAAAAAATTACATCTCCATTATAACTACAATGTTCATATTATGCATTAATATTTCGAATGAATACAACGGTACAAAAAAGTCGTATAAAATATAGGCTTTTACCGCACTATTGCACTACTAGTGTTGTAAGTAATACGCTGAATAAATACTCCGCGTCCAACCTCTAACCAATAATACTTGCACGGACACGGCGGCTATCCTAACCTAATATAACGACGTAATTCAATATTTGGCTTAAATCTTAATTAAAACTACTATAAAGCATATAAAGTATAATTTTGGTCTACGTTATGCATATTAAAATTAAATTGTTAAGTGCTCTTATATCCTAATTATTGCCTTATATACTATTTTTCATTCCAGTGGTCTTTATAATAAGTAAGATTTTAAAAAACTCATGCCACATAAATATTTTATCTAAAGTAGTTCAACACTACATATATTGCGTCTAGTTTTTGATGACGTGCATTCACAGTTACTTTGTACATTAGTGAGTTTCAAATTGAGTACAACTTACAATCTCAAACATTATAATGTTAATGAAATATTATCATCAATGTAAAAAAAATACTAAAGAAGCGATTGGCATGAGTGTGAGGAGCCAACCCGTGTGCATTATAAATTGTTTGTCACCGAGCAGGACGCAATTATACGACACAAAAAGAAAGAAATATGCCTTGCTCGCTCTGGCATATAATTGCGTCTCTGTCCGGCAGAGAATGACGGTAGTTCTTTCGAGGCGCCGGGTAGTAGACCGCACAATCACTGGACGTATCACAAAAAGGCTTAACAAATAATTTACACTACCAGTACCTAACCAATGGAACGGTAAGACGTTAAACCAACATTGAGCTTACTTACGTTCAATATATTAATATATTCTTTAAGTAATATTGCTGTTAGTTATGGTTAACTAAATATTCATACACGTAATTAATTGTATTTCTGAGAGTAGACGTAGACAATGGCACAAGGTTTTATTATGACAAGATACTTCGTTCGGTAGATAGACAATTTTGTGCCAATACGGTTTACTGAGAGATCTTAGAACTTATACAATATATACGCACCGTCAAGTCTAGCCTCGCTAGATATAAGCACAACTCCAAATAAATCCTTAAAATGCTTCAAATAAAACTCTGTTTTATTCTTTTTAAAATCACAATTATTATTTCTGCAGAAATACAAATCTATATAAAAAATATTCTCCGTTAAAGAGTTCTAGAACAGCTCCTCAATTGACTTTTGTAGGCTGGCAACGCTGGGCCATTAATCTATAGAAGACTACGATATAAATAAAAAGCACATAGTGAGCAAGTTGTTTAAATTAAATCGAGCAGATAGTAAACGTTTGCCGTTGGCGGCGAACAAGGGAACAGATAAAGAATGCTTACGTGAAGATAAGGGTAAAGTAGCACATCGAATACATAAGAATCCGTAGTCTATACGAAACTCGATTATACGAACTAGGTTCGCACGCCGCCGGCGTCACACGCCGACGGTACAACCTGCGCAAAGGCACGCGTACCTACTGTATCTATATTTAAGACGTTTATAGAGCCGCGGAGCTTCTGACGCTCGCAAACCACCTAAGCACCTTTTACCGCACGATGTCAAAATCGACCTATTTATTATACCAAAAACACATCGAATTCAATCACTTGGGCATCTCCAATTTAACGAAAACATTTACTAGTAAGAACAAATTTTATTGTAAAGAACAAAAGCATCAGTAAGAGCAACACAATTGTCTGTGTAAACTTGTCATTCTCAATGTCTAATTTTATTTTAATTAGATAATTAAGCACAGTTAAATAATTTTTCGAAATAGTAACGCAGGGATTTGCCAAGTGTTAATTTATGTGTTTTTAATTAGTAAAGAGGGGGTTGCGAGTCAAGAAAGACTTCAAAAGGTTCAAATAGCAGTAAGGCGGCGTCGGTTAACTCTCAGAGACTGACAAGACTGTTATGCTGGTCTGGTGAAGCCTGGTCGGGTAGGGCTCTGGTCTGCTGTGCGCAGGGATGGGGGTGAGGGTGCACAGGGGTTAGACCAGTGCCTCCCTCCATGAGGCTGTCGAAGTTGAATGGGATCCCGTTGCTTGGTGTGCTGATTTCGATGCCGGCGATTTTGTTGTTGCCCACTTTGTTGTTGTGGATCTGTAAAGGACACATGTAGTTGCGTTAGTTTCACGCTACTTATTTTTAAGTTCGGCAGGGAAAAGTAGTATTTTATTGACTTGTCTTTAGCGAATTTAAAGTCTATCGTTAGAATCGAGTTAGCGCAATATTGGCTCGACTCGATATTCGATGCGTGCCGCACTATATTTCCCTTTTTTTTGGACTTCGCCATTTCGACCCGTGTTCGAAATGGCAAAGCATTTATAAGTATTCTATACTTAAATATTTAGGTAACAGCAATTTAAACCGAAATTAAGGATTGTCTAATAAATTAGTTAATCTAAGCAGACACACACCATAACACGGTTAGGTCCACACCATTCTGAGCCGACTCCAATATTAAACAACGACATTTAAAGTGTAATTGATTAAATATTCAAGTCGTCCCTTTTGCGGCCAATTTGTTTATTGATAATGAAATAAAATTTTAAGCAAAAAGAAAAAAATGTAGGCCTCCAAAAACAGGACCAAGTTACACCTGATGTGGTTTAGGAATTACTCTATGAACGAAAACCATTGAAGACTTTGTCCGCGCACGAACCCTTCAAGTATGGAAATGTTACTAAAAAGTTGTAAGAAGTCAACAAAAACAGAAATATCTTTCCCGCTTTTGAAATCATAACTACATTTTATTACTATCATTTGCACTACACAGAAAGTATTAAACCACATCAAGTTTAGTTATGGCGGTGTACCTGCGCAGGAGTGAGCGTGAGAGGCACCTGCAGGAAGCTGGGCCGGCTGGGCCGCGCCGTTACTGGTGGCGTCTCCAGTGGCGCCGGCGACGATGACGTCACTACCGCCAGGTTTGCTGCCGACAGCATTATTCTGGAAATAAACACACAGTTATAAGTAACCTATTTTGGATCTGGAAGTTCCGAGCGTTCGTAGGTATGAAGCCACGGAATTGGTGATACATATCATTATATATCTGATATATTTAGAGAGGCAGAAATAATCATTTATTTCGCACGATTAAAAGAATATTTTGCGAATATGCAAAGTTCTATTTGATTTTTGAGATATCATTACAACTACTAATAAAGAAATATGGAAGGTGAACCGGTCATGCCCGATATAACCTAAATTCAGCTACAGTCGTAGTGTTCATGGTGCAACTGTATCGAAATTTTCATTTACTGAACAATGTAGTAAAAAACTCGTTAATTATATTTACCTTTTGTCTGGTGTCGGCGTAAAGATAATATCGTTATCTAGCCCCAGCACATTACAGTTGACACGATCGACGGCGTCCAGTACTTCCACTTTCACCCTTACCCCGTCTTCGGGCAGCTCAGGGTTGTACGCGTAAGAGTCTTGGAAGGGCTTCACATCGGGCGGGCTTATGGGCCTTTTCGACATTCGGCAGGTTAAAAGATGACTTTGGAATATGCGTTCTAAACGATCCTTGTCGTTACTCAGTTTCCGGATCTCCTCTTGCAAAGCTTGTTTCTTTTCCTCGAGTTTGTCCGTTTCATCTTGGAGCTCGTTGGTGTGATCAAGTCTACGTTTGCGACAGCGCGCGGCGGCCATCTTGTTTCTTTCACGTCGGAGTTTTCGGCGCTCTTCCTCTTCTGGAGTGGTGTCTTGAGGGGCCTTGGTCGGTCTGCGTCCGCCCATGTTCCGACGTTTTGGCGCGGGTAGGCCGGGGCTGCTGCTGCTGTCGCCACTAGCGGAGAGCGGGCCCGGCGACACATGCAGCGCCGTCGTCGGGCCCGACTCACAATAACTTACCGGATTCAGGATGCCTGTAATGGAAAATCACCGTGTCAAAAGTATATTCGAAACACAACTTAATATTTGATATAGTTTGGAGCTAGCTGAGGGTCAAGCTTTTGTCTTGTACTTTTGTTTTGTCGTTGTTTGAAAGTCGTCTAGACAATTAATAGTTTATTGAGATATTAGGCTACAGGGAAGTGCAGCAACGTCTTCGTACGTTAAATTGCTTTGCAATTGGTATAATTTACCAAAATATATTGGCCTACCAACAAAATATTATCCTTTTTTTGTCTCCCATCCATGGATTGTTACTTGCTAATGTACAGGTGAAATATGATTAGAAAATACGTACCGTAATGGTTGTTCTGCGTGACGGAAGGCGGCACAAAGCCCGCGTGACTGGTCTGCTCGCTGCGGCAAGAGCCGAGCTCGATGTACGTCTGCTCGAAACTGCGCAGCTGAGTGGGCGTGATGGTCGCCGTGGTTCGGGTTGGAACCCCCGATTGGAGGCCTTCGAAATTCGCCAACTGTAAAGAAAGAAACGTACTCTTTACTAATGCGTAAACTGTACAACTTAACTGCCTCCATGGCCCAACGATTACCATGCTGGACTGCCACGCAGACGTCCTGGGTTCGACTCCCAGGCCAGGAGAAATATGTGTATGGCCTACATTATTTATCTCGTGAGTTTATGTGTAATTTGTGGTTATTTGTGTGTGTGTCCATGGCACCCGTGACACAGGGTTTCCCTAGTGCGGGGCTAGGAGTGTGTCGCGTTGTTATTATTATTATACATCGCGCCTATATTTCCATTTAAAAGATTCAAGATTAAGCTAGAGTTAAATACGAAATGCAAATCTATGAAACCAGCAGAGTAACTGCTCATTTAAAGCTTTCGAAAACCATTCAACATTATTTTAATCATCGTTATGATTTAATATTGTAACAAGTTGAATTATAGTAGTAAGTTGGTGTTCAAAACTCATAAATCAAATTTCATCATTTTGCAGCACATCCTGTATTACATGTTTTGAATAATAAATTTGTTATATTTAGGACATGTCTATTATAAGCATTGGTTTTAGTACAATGGCACCTGTGATAATTCCGCAAAATATTAGCACATGGTGCTATGTCTATAAGAAATTGTGAGCTACAATACATTTAAGCAAAATGGCTAAACGTAATCCAACGTATCATTTAAATCCACTTGTGAAATCATTATGCAATGTTTATTTATTGTATTATTTATACGCGGCACTTGCTTCCACATACCGATCAGCCTTTATCAGCAAAATATTATTATTTGTAACGCATATCGTAAACAATCATAATATGTTGTATACTTCATACAAATAAAAATACGTAAAGAATGTTTGGGATAATTAATAACATGGTGTTTGAAAAAATATTTTAGGCGCTGTTAATTATTCGTGAATGCATAGTAACTTTTTGGAAATTTCCGCAAAAAAAAAAATATATATATATATAGCATCCTTGAGGCCACAACTGCAAAATGATAACTTTTCAAGAGAGGTTCAAAAATTGTACGAACGAAATCAGTCTATAGTATTTTTATGCTGCAATACGAAAGTTATAAAATTTCACATAATTTGTTTTATGTATCTAGTTAGAAATTAGTAGAGATTGGTAGACGCCGGAGACCGGCCAGAGCGATGAGGCATACCAAGAAGGAGATGGCGAGATAACTTGGACGCATATATAAAAGACTGGCCTAGCCTTGCGTGAAACAGTTTCCACCGTGGAAGTTGAGAGGCTTTTGCTCAGCAGTGCACGGTAGGCTATTTTAAAAAAAAATGTAGTGCTTATAAGCTTTATGACTTTTATACGATGCGTATGTAGTATTGGTAAAAGGCGCGTATTTGCATTAAACCAAATTTCACAAGAGAGGGATTTAACGTAATGACTTTGTTATTTCAATGGCTACGATGTTCATTTTTGCACAGTAAGCATTAATTTATGTTGTCTACGAACTGATAACTATAGATTCCCGTAAACCACGCTAATTTGGTTGCCACGACATCTACGCGAATTTGATTTGGCCTCTAAATTACCGAAATGGAGACTCGTAATCAAATGCTAGTTACGCGTAATTCCACTATCTCCGACGTTATGACGTATGAACATAAGGCTATTATATATTATAGGCTATTATATATACCAAGGATTCGATAAGTAGCGTTAGAAAATCATCAAAAACAACGTAACGAAATTCGAAAAAGAAATTCTCAAAACGTTTTATACGTTTCTTGTTGTCTCATTTGCCGCTGCAATAGAATAAACAGTTCCCTATGAAATGCGCGATTTACATTTTTATAACCACGCTACTGAATGTATCGGTTTAAATGATTCAGCCGTAAGGCCTAAAAGGGTTAATGCCGGTAGATAGTCCATAATATTACGTAGATAGATAGGCACCGAACACTGGTGAGTGTAAACAAATAACTAGATTTAACGCGTTACAGTGAAAGCAATACATAAATCTTTCCTCGCTAATGTTGGGCTTTAGTGTAAATACGAGTAATAAGTATTAGATGTTATAAACCATTGGATTTGCGAACGAATTAATGCGGAAGGATTTTTATCAGATCATTTACTTCCCACTGTCAATGGATTTTTTTTTAAAGTTTCTCACTAAAAGGCATTCATTATAGATTACAAAATTAAAGAAAAAATAAGAATTGATAAATAGTCGATAGACACACTTTTTTATAATAGTTTATCATAAAATCACATGTGGTTTCATATAGAAGCCGGCATCGTTTGATATAACGAGAAACAGAACGGTGTTGACAGATTTATTATTTCATTAAAGAGCATGGAACACACGTAAGTTGTAAATTAGACAAGTAAAACTACTTCAGCACATAATTACACCGAAACGCCATTTCATTTGGCACAAATTCGGCAAATTCGCTTGTAGATTATTTGGTCAGTGCTATTAACTCGTGCAAGCTTTGATAAGACTTGTTCTGTATTATGTAGATTCTTAATAGGTATTTAACATACTAATGTTAATGGTATTTTTTCTATCATGGACATCAGTCTTCACAACTTATATTTTAACCTTGTTAAATTAACGGAAATTGTCTGTCATGTCGTGTTTTTGATTTCGTGTAATGTTTGGTGGGGTTGTAGTGTACCTGCTGGCACCAAAGCTCGGTGGCCAAGATGTTGGCGAACTCCAGAGGATCTATGTTCTGCATCCTCGCGGCTGTTGTGGATCACTCGCGTTATAATTAGACGCTTACTCTATTGTATTGCGCTTTTTGCGACGCGCACCTTCGTGCTGTTCGAGTTAGTTAGTCGATATGTTCGTTAATCCGCCCTCGCAAGTTATTCGTAACTACAGTCGATCCGTCGATGCACTTTCCGAAGGTTAGATTTCGATTTGGTAAGTGGGTTTGTCGTAGGGGCGGATCGGTGTCGGTAGTCGTGTGTTCGCGGTATTCGCGGGTCGTACGCGGGAGTGCGGGTCGTTCGTTCGTTGCGCGCGCGGACGGCGGCCGGCCGCGGCTGATCGCGCGCTACTGCCGTGCGCCTGCGCCGCCGCCGCCCTCGTGCGCCCGAAATCTTCGCCCACAAGCGACGTCCAATCATTTATTTATAGAGCACTCCTCGAACTCCGGAAATATTTCGCGTCATTTCGCATAGTGCGTCGGCTGCTGATTATCTGAGGTAATGGCAAGCATCACTCTAAACAAACCCTATTCCATGCGCATGCTACATACATCAATAAGAACCTAATTGCTACAAGTCAAAATATCTATAAAATTTTGACATAATAAGGATATCCGAATCCCAAAGAATACAATGCCGGCACAAAGTATGAAGGCCGGCTAGTATCTGTGAGTCTATAAACAGTAATTATTACTGCTTTCTGCTGATGCGGTGTGGGCGGCAGGCTGCACGGACCTTGCGCCAAGGCCGCCAGTGGGCGATGCGGCGTCGGGTGGCCACAGCCTTACGATACTCATCAACGTGTGTGGACTACCTTATAAGGCACTCTATGATAATAAGGCAATATCCTTGAATTGTGGTATATTTTCACCTAAAATAGTAATCGTATCATAAATTTTAATAGCTTATATTAAGGAAGTTTTTAACAGTCAGCAAGGACGTTGATTTTCACGTTTTGCGTTGTTCCCCTCAACAGGCATTTTTTTTTTCACACTCACAGCCAAATTAAACTAGATCTAGGTACGAAAAAACTGCCATAAACCTATTGATGTATCGATGTAAATAGTTGCGATGAAGAAAATCAATAATATCGAGTTCTTAGGTTTTCGCGATTGTTACACATAGGAAATGAAACTAATTTTCCGGATTTAAATCGCGTATATTTGTTTTTTCAAACAAACCGACGTTTCGGGCCCTTTACAGGTCCCATGGTCACGGTTTTAATTATATAAATTATAGTGTTAAATCGAAAAAATTCATAACACCGTGTAACAAAAAAGTAGTTTTCTCTCTAACGGCTATCTCAGTGATTTACAGAAGAATTTATATTCTAACATGAAATTAATCACAATACATTTTCCAAGAAACAAATATTTATTCAGCACAAATTGAGGACACAAAGTGCTGATTCGTGTGTTTATTGCACAGTGGCAATAATCCGTTCGAGGCGGGACAAAGGCAGGCTACGGAAGGCGGGCTGGTCAACCAATTACCACAATTGCTTAAATGAAATTCGTTCCTGTACGATGCTGCATCATAGCATGAGCAAATATAGTAATTCAAAAATTTCAAGTTTTTTTTATGATATCAAGTGAAGGGACGAACAAATCGTGTCTGGTGGTAGGCGACACGTTTGTCGATAACAGTTGCAGTGTCACTAGAGTTTTAAATCACAAATATCTGAGGGGCACTGTCACTACCTCCGTCACATTGACACAAGTTAACAAATCCCATGTGCCTGTAATTTCACCAGCACCCTTACTCTCCAATACTGAAACGCAGTAATGTTCACATCCACAAGTAGCTCTTCCCTGCTACTTTGAAACGTCACACCGTACATTCAATTACGAAACCTATATAGCGCACTGTTAATACAATAGTGTACTAACTCAAAATGTGTATTTTTCAGAATCTATGAAAAACGAATTACTCACTTCCCATGAAAGACTATTAAAATTTATATTTAAATTTATATAATTTATATTTAAACCTACACGGTTAAAGTTGATTACAGACTAAATAATAAATTTCTACTCGCGAAATACACTTGTACCCTGATATTTGCGTAAAGACTTACAAAAAGTTTTGTCTCATTTTGAGTTAAGTAGATATCTTTTAAATGTTTCTTACAATATTTTAAGGACGCTTTTATTGACGTGTAGAGAATCAAATTTTAATCTCGAATTTCACATATTTTGAGTTATAGCACTATTGTAATAGCAGTGCGATATTATGCAGATAAAAGCTAATAAGAGATAGAAGCGGAAATCTTCAAGGCAGACGATCATGCGGTTGTGGTCTCCAACACGATAGTTTGATGTCATAATTCCATCACACAATTTCACAACACGGAGAAAAACTGCAAGAGCAATGGCTACGTACAAGAAGGACGATTCATGACCAAGGATACTCTCAGAGTGTCAGGGGGTCTACCCCGGTTCTCCTTCCAACATGCGTCCGAAACAATTACAGTCAAATAAGTAACACTCTGCCAAAATAAAAGACATGCGACTAAAGCTTCATACTCGCACAGAGAATGTGAGTAGATCCCCTGATTCGGAGATAGAGAGGAAGATGAATATCCGTATAGTACGTATGCTATGCGCGGCCGCAGACCCGGAGTAACCGCCCGCTAATTGGTCACGGTGCTTACCTAGCAATTAAATGATATTATTATATGTGATCCCCATTTCCCGCGACTCCTGTTTATCATAATCATCTTTTTAAGGCACGCGTTTACCTGATAAATTTAATTAGAAAACTTTTTAGCTGAAGTGATTAGTGCCAAAATTGGCAATTACCTAACGAATCTAAAGATTTAATGCTATACTTAAATTAAATTAAAATCTCCTTATAAGTCGTCAATTAATTTGTTGTGTGTAAATGAATTTGATAAAATCAAAGAACATACCGCCTCGTCTTCATTAAACTAATTAAATGTTTTAAGCTACCTACCTTCATTTCTCGACTGGCTAAAACTACTAAACATATCGTATGACGTGTATGACTTTATAATATTTATATCCCCTTGCACTCAACTTATTATAAGCACGTCTTAAGCCACTGCTTAGTTGATAAGCCACATGAGTGTCTTCTGCATTGCAAGCGTTGATTCAAGACGTACTCAACTTTAGTGCTAGTGGACATTAGTGTATATAAGCTCACAATTGCCGATAAACAAACTCACGTGATGGAATTTGAAAATATGAACCAGGGGTGTACTTATTTAAACAGATCTAAATTTAAGTCGAATCCCTCGGGCAACGCAAAATAATTACAAAAAAAGAATTAAATATATTTTTCACCTCACTAGCTCTGAAAGGCTTTCTTTCTCATTAGAAATCTGCGCGCATTAGTGTTTTTTGTACGCTAGCGTCATGCTAGCGTGGTAAAGGTTTTTGAAATTCGAACTTGACGATGGACTGTGAAGGACCTAACTTTTTTTTAATGAAAAGAAGAGATAATGACACGTTTAACTACGCGATTGGTCGACAATGGTAACTAATTGGGTTTATTAAATTATTTTAATTTGTCGAAAAACTAAAATAATTTCAATAATCACGTAATCACCCAGAATTATAAGTACAAGCAAGAATAAAAATTAATTAGATGCAAATTCAGAACGCTTCCGATGATAAACTTTTCCTTTGATTAAAAAAAAAACTGATATTCTAGTTCAACTGTTTTTCTTTTATCTACCATTTTCCTTTGGGATGAAAAGTTGCGTGTTTCGCTCGGCAGCAAAGTTGTTTTGCGTCTCGTGTCTTGCAACCCTCGATACGCTCAGGATTCTATTTTTGAGCCACTGCAGCCTTGCATAACAAATAACTTTTGTTTTTACCAAAGGACTGAATGTCTGCTGTCCTTTTCATAAACATCGTAATCGGTATTTTTAGCGAAATTGAGTTATTCATACATCTGGAATCACCGAAGCGAGCTTTACAACCCCCTAGCGGTTTTTTTATAACTTATTTAGTTTCAGTTTTATTGTTAAACTAAAATCAGTGCAATTGACGTTTTTTTAAAGAAAAAAGAACATTATGTGCCAATATCTCAAAAGTTACCAAAACGCAAAGGCGTTGTTTATGACAAGGAGGGCAAATGTTTTTACACGTTAGAGGTAGGTAGGTGTATAAGACGTTATCGGCCGACGTGCTTATGAGATCACTACTATAACTATTTATGACGTAAACATGACTGTCATCCATTGGAGGTATAAAGCCGTTGCCACCAACAGTTACTAAACCTGCAAATCGAAGAGGCGAAAGAAGCTTGAAACGTTTAAAAAAATCGATTCAAAAGTATCCGAAATAGGTGCGCGTTTATAGTACAATCTAATGAAGCGTATCTACCCTGTGGGGAACAACAGGTCCAGACATATTTATATCATAGCGTGATGAACTTTAAGTTACTTGTGTTGTTTTTTTTATGTGTGACAGTGAGTGACAAGTACCAGGACGAACTGGTGGTAAGCGACACGCCTGTCCATAGCAGAGACAGTGCCACCCACAAATTTAAATCGCAAAGATCTGAGGAGCACTGCGCCCGTCACCCTAAGACATACGTTGACAAGTCCCGTGTGCCTGTAATTTCACCAGCACGCCTACCCTTCAAATCGGAACGCAGGAATGAATGCTCTCTTGATGACAGAAATAGGTATGGTAAGGCAGTACTTCGTTGGACGAATTCTTTCATAAAGAACTTTACTGCATAACGAGTTTTATGACGTAAAAACTATGAATGTAAACAAACCGTAATAAAGTATTTTATAAGGCATTACCTGGTTAATATAGTAAAATTAGGTATAATGAACTCTATTTAAAATTGTACTAAATATACAACATTTAAATAAAGATATTTAATAACGCGTTTCACAACTTTCCTACGATAAACAACCTAAAATCCGGTCTTTTAAATGATGACAGTAAATAAAAAGCGACCAAATGAAAGAGTACAATAGTAATACGACGTATGAAACTCACTGCTAAATATTGTATTTGACCGGTTAACCAAATGACAGCTCAAATTTGTTTACTTTTAGATAATTAAGATACGAGCCTAAAAACAGAATTGTCGCATAGTCTCGGGGGAATTCCCGCAGATACCGTATCCTATCTCGTTTATCGTTACTAAAATTCGCTTCCTTTCCTTTCCGCGACAGTGTAAATTGCACCTTATGCTCAGAGCCTTAGAGGAAGAGAAAACAATATCTTCGCAAAACGGTTTTTCAATACCATACTATAGCCTAAAAGTTGCGAGGTTCGTGCGGTAATAGCCACGGATTGACATATCGCACATGAAATCAAATACTGTGGTAACTCAAAATTGTGAAATT